AGCGCGGGAGGGGGCTCCGCGATGAGCGTAGCTGTTGTTAGGGGGCCACGGAACTGGTGCTCGGCGCTGAGGGGATGTGAGCTGGCGACAGTCACCCAACCTTGCGCCGGGGATGGAGTGGCAGGGCTGGCTGGGGGGCGGCATGCCGGGTGGGAGGCAGGAGCTGGCCTCGGCAGCACCCTGGGCTGCATAAGTATGATCAGAGACTGCACGATGAGGGAGCGATGACTCTCCACTTGGCACCTGTGAAGCTGCATCTGGAGGGCTGCATCCAGTTTGGCATTCCCCAGCACAGAAGAGACACTGATGCAAAGGAGAGAGGCTGATGGAGGCCTGCCAGGATGAGTAGGAGCTGATGTGAGTGATGTGCGAGGGGAGGCTGAGGAGGCTGGGTGTATTCAGCCTGCCCAGGAGAGGCTGAGGGAGGGTGTCATTACAGCCTTTCAGACAAGTAGAGGGGGCTTATGGAGAAGGCAGAACCAGACTTATGTCAGAGGTGCACAGTAAGAAGACAGGAGGAACGATCGATTATGTTTTAACAAGGGAAGTTCCAGTTAGACATAAGGAACAAATCCTTCACCAGGAGTAATCTTGCTGTGGTTAAGCACCAAGTCAGAGTCCCAGAGAGACCTCTATCCTTGGGATCTCCATCCTTAGAGATTTTCAAAACATGATTCCAATGTGATTTTTCTTACGATTCTTGGATGAACAGGAGGTAAGGAAGTAACTGAAAATGGGAATGTGCATTCTCCAGAGCTGCTGGCTCTGGATCGGGTGTCCTGAACACCTGAATACTTGGAAAAGTATTGAAAAGTTGAAGAAACTGCTGTGTGATTCTGTGTGAAACAAAAGTTAAGGAGACCGGTCATTGCCCTTCCTGAGTGGCATTTTTCTCTTTTCTTCAAAGAGATATCAAAAGGTATTTTTCTGTGCCAAAGTGTCCCATCAGAGATTTGTGATGGAAATTGCAGGCAAATATTTTAGGTGTCAGTATGCAGTTAATCTTGCATTTGCTTTTGATATTAATAATTAAATATAGCTGATTCAATTAAGGTATTCTCAATATCACATTTACATTCATTCATATCTTCTCTGTGACTGGAGACCTCATCTCCTCATCTGGAACATAGTTTGCAGTTCTGGACTCCTCAGTACAGGAAAGATGTTTAAAAACTGGGCAAAAA